GCGTGCTTGTCCAGACCTGCTCTGCCGCCTGACAGCACCTCCCTCCAGCCCTCTGCATCTGTTCTTCATGCCTCGGTGTACCCAGTACTCTTACACAGGCCGCTCCAATGGCCTGGCCTCTCTCTCCAGCCTCCATCTTCCCCACTACCCATCCCTGGACGGTCCCATCCTGTCACAAGCCACTGCCCAGAAAACCATTCTTAAAAAATTCCTGTAACAAATTCTACTAATGAATTGTACCAAGGAGGCAAAAAGAAAGTGAGAAAGGAAAAAAGAAACAGAAAACAGGGATAGAGGCAGAGACAGAAAACTCTAGAGACATTCAGAGGAAAAATGAATATATGGACAAGCTCCCCTCCTCCCTGCCATTCTTGATGGCTTCAGAAGAAAATAATACATCATAATTCATAAAAGAGTGAGTGTAGGCAAGGTAAAAAAGAATAATTCCCTGGCCTACTCAACTTGCCAGAAAATGACAGGTCCCTCCCTGTGATTGACGTATTACTCAGAATCTCTTGCTTTCTGAAATTTCTGGGTTTTTTTAAAAAAGCCAATCTCTCATCAAAAAACATTCCATAAAGCTACAATTTTCATGAAAGCTACACAACCTTATTTTCCAAAAGAAACCTAGGAGACCAGTTCAGCTGGTCTCCCCGCTATTGCTGCTGTATGATGGAGCTAATGCTATCAATACTAACTTAACCATTACAGCTCTCAATCACTGAGTACTCACACAACCAGCATGGGGCCTGGGGGTGCCAAAGTCACCAAGACAGGACTGCATCCCCCAGAAGCAGACCAAGGGACGTGGGGACAGTGACAGTGAAAATCTTGAAGTCAGAAACAGAACCAAGGGGAGGGTTGCAATCAAAGCTCTCACATTTTGAGAAGCTCTGATGAGAGCTAAGGAGTAATTTGATTCCTTTATCTGCAAAGCTTTAGCATGAGTGGGAGGCAGAAAGGGGGGAGGAAAGGAACAACTTTGCTCACGAGGCAGGGCAGACATGAATCAGCCACCAACTTACTACTTGGCCTTGGGCAAACCACCTCCCCCAAAGTTGAGACTCCTTCACTTCTCTGAGTCCAAGTTTGCTCTAAAGAGTTTCATTTTGAGGTTTTTAATGTATAATTTGTGAAAATTTGTTTCTATTTTGTTACTACTTTTTGGTAAAAATTCATGATTTCCCCTTTTAAGAGGACCTTTTCTCTTTGATTTGATAACCCTGTTAATAACAAGCGTGTATAAATACCTATTGAGTACTTAATGACACCTCTTTAAAAAAAATCCGATCATGCTGGCTCCTAGTCAAAATCTTTCAGTGGTTTCTCATTGCACTTAAAGATAAAGACTCAAATCCTTAGCATGGTCAAGCATGGCCTCAGCATTTCTCTTCTTGTATTCCTCATTTTATACACCTCATCCTCTACAGTCAACTCAGCCTTTTAGACACACCCCACTCTCTCTCATCTTGGGCTTTTTCTAGAACATGATGCTTCCCCCCAGCTGTACTCCAATGAGCATACATTAGTGAGATATATGAATTATTATGTTACTTAAACACAAGTTTTATGGGACAAGAGACCAGATAGCTTTTTACTCACTATTATATTCCTACAGCCCAACATCAGTGCCTTGCACATTGGATGGCTTTCTATAAATACATCAATAATTCACAACAGCCTTAAGCACCTTGGCTATGTCTGCACTTTGGCTGCCAAAACAGAGCAGAGACTAACAAAAAAAGCTTGCAAAGTAAAATGTAGGTATCTTTTAGAGCTAAGAAAACCTAGAACATGAGCATCCCTGGAGAGTTTTCACCAAACTGTCTTCATGTCCTAAAATTCAGACACAGGGTCCTGTTCAGATTCTGATTCTTACAAATTAAATAATCTAGGTACGACATAGTGATACTGTTTTAGCAACATCTTTGTTTCAAAGAAAATATATAATGTGTCAGTGGAAAGTTTTAGGGCTTTTGCTTTGTTTTGACTTTCTGATCTTCCATGCTTTCATACTTTGCACCAATGTCCCCTCTGTCTGGAAGGCTGTGATGCCCTCCCCCCAACTTCTATTTGGTGAGGTCATTCCCTTTTTTAAGGTTCAATGTAAAAGTCACTAAGACCTTCCCTGGACACTGACAGCTCTTTTAGGTTATCACAGCACTCTGTTCTCCCAAACCTCTACTTGTGGGCTGAACACACAACACTATGGTGCACCCAAAAGACCTGTTTCTCCCATGACAAAATAAACAACTCAAAAGTAAGAACCATGCCTTACTCACCTTACACGGGCAGAGTGCCTGAAGCCTCGTGCTTGTTCCACAGAAGATCCTCAATAAATACTGCTGTTGAAACTTAACAGCAAACATGAAAAGTCACTTTTTGAGCCCTAAAGTCTTTCTTTCACAACCCATGCAACCTCATCTAGTAGATTTCTGAGACTTTACAGTAAGTAAACAGAAGTGAAAGAACCAGGAATTGGTACGGTCAATTTTAGAGCTGACAAGGTTTTATTTTTTGTGTGTGTGGGATCAGGCTTTAATGAATTTAAACACAAGGCACATGTTCCCAGAGGTACATAAATTACAACTGCTTTTTGATTTTTTCATCTCTTAATCCTTTGGATGGGAATGAGAAAATGTTTGGTCTCGCTCGTTTTTTTTGTTTGTTGGGTTTTTTTTGGGGGGGGGGGTTATGAGACAGGGCCTCACTATACAGTTCAAACTGGCCTTGAACTCATTATATAGCCCAGGCTGTACCCAAACTCAAATCAGTTCTCCTGCCTCAGCCTCCTGAGTGCTGAGATTGTAGGCATGCACCACCACACGCAGCTTGGGTCTCTTATTTAAGGAAGAACTTCCTTAATCGGGCCTTTTTAAAAAAAAGAGCTGATCGTCAGAATTTCTAGAACTTCTTGCAGTAAAATTCTTTTTGTATTTCTTTTCTATCTACCTACACTAGTAAGTTGTTGTCTCCTAGATCCTAGTAAGTTTGTTATGATTAAATGATGCTTTTAATTTCTGCATCTACACAGAACTTCTTTTTTGGTTTCTCCAAAATAGTATTCTCTTCTTCCAGTGTGTCATGACAATCCCATTTAGCTTTTGTTTCTTCTTTACGGAATAAATGTGGGTGCTCAATGCATCCTCTACGAATAAAATGCTGGATCCGGGATTCCAATCCTTGGCATTTAGGCCGATCCATGAGGGGCCTATATTTGCGCATTTTCACTCCTTCTACAAAGGCACTGGTCTGCTTTATGACAGAGGGCTTAATGTTTCTCCATTGTATTGTTCCATCCATGTTTGGTCCTGTTTTACAGGATAATACAACAGAGTCCAGTCCTTGCAGCATATTATACAACATGTGACTTTTGACAGCATGATTAGCCCATAGTTGCTGTAGGTAACATTGAACTCCTGAACCTCGTGATCATAGATCCACTTGATATTTTCATATTTACAGTCATACAAGACTAGAGGAAATTCTACAGCCATATTATATTGAGGCTTCTGGGGGATTTTTCTCTATATTCAGCAACTCATCAATAACTTCTGGCTTCTCCATTCCTTAGCCAATCAGAAAGAGGATAGCCATCATACATCGGACTTGATGATAAAGGAATACCTGCCCAGTCACTTCAAATTGACATAACTGGAAAGGTTCTTGCCATCTCTCCTCACCCAGGCTCTGTCCCACTAGCTGTACTTGAGCAGACAGAATAATCCTCTGAAAATTAATCACTCCATTCGCTACATCCATTTTACACAAGTTTCTAAAATCATGAGTGCCAACATACTTCTGAGCTGCATATAATTCATCCTTAGAATATCTAAATCAGCACAAGGGAAAAAGTAGCGGTAACTGCGCTCAAGACAGCTGAACCTAGCACTGAAACTAGATTGGACAGGGGCCCAGGCCAGTACACGGATGTCTGGAGGGAGTACCCGATTGAGAATGTGGGTATAACGGATCTCTTTGACATCATCACTGACTTCATCTTTTAAATTAAGATCTTTTGAATCTTTGCCCCTTGAAAACTGAGACCGCAGGTCAAGAGAAATCAACTGTCCAAAGGCACTAACTCCTTTGTCCGTTCGCTCACACCGGTGATAGTTGGATGTCGGTCTGCTTTCTATCAGTCGAATCTTGGTCAGAGCCTCAAACAGTTTCTCTTCAATGGTACTGTCTGTGTTTTCCTGACTAGCAAAGCCCTGGTATCCCCAGCCCTGATAGGCTATTCTTAGAGCTACATGTCTTTGGCTGTGGGCACTGAAATCAAATGCACGCTGAGCTTTTCCAGGTCCAGAAGAATTTTCTTTAACGTATGGGTCTTTGATATTGTTGGATTACTTTGTACTTCCTGCTCCAGTTCTTGTACTCTTTTTAGAAGTTTCTCAATCTGGTTTCTGCCAGTGTCTGTTTCAGCCATGATATGATAGCCCCAGGAACCAATGAATCTTAACAGCTCTTTGGCAAACTGGCTTCGTCGCCTTCCGCGAAGCAGGAAGTTGTTGCTGGCGCTCGCGCTCGCGAGGCCTCACGGGAGGTGCCGCGCGCGGTTGTGGGAAATGTAGTTCCGAGGAGGGGTGCAGGCTTGAAGCCGAATCTGCCGCTCCGAGGGTCTGCAGGGCAGCCACCGGTTTCTGGGCAGGACCTGGAGCATCTTTAAACGTGCAGGCAGAAATGTAGGGGTAAAACACGGGCAGAGTGCCTGAAGCAGGCAGTGGGTTACAGCCTCGCCTCGGGTAGGAGGTGTAGGACTCTCGGATCAGTAGAAATGCAGCTGCCACCTAAAGAGTCCCCAGCTGTGGGTTGACGGTAGAGGTCAGCAGCTGGCCGGCATTGACTACGACAGTGCCTCCTTCCAGTTTTCCAACACTTGGCGCGGATCCCAATCCTTGCGGATCAGTATAGCTCTTGGAATCCTCCAACTCGCATCTCTGGCGACCCCTCTCCGGTCTCCCCCATTCCCAGGGCCTCTCCTCCTCTGAGCCTGCGCGCCTGCGTGCGGCGCAGCGGGTGGTCGCGGCCTAAGGCCTGCTCCCGAAGCAAGCCCAGGGGCTAGGCCCTGCCTGGAGCCTGGGTGGAAGCACGTGCTGGGGGCGGAAGCAGCGATCGCAGCTATGGCGTCGTTACTTTGGGCTGGCGACGCCGGGGCAGCGGACGGCGAGCAGCTGAGCAGCCAAGTAACCGCCACGGAGCAGAGGAGGGCAAGGGGGTGGGAGCGACAGCCGGGACTCACAGAGGGAAATCTCCAGGGGAAAGGAGGGAAACCCCTGCTAGCATTTGGAGTGGCGTGTCAAATAGTGGAGGGGAAGTGTGGGGTGGGTTTGGAGGAGGGCCACAGAAAACGACTGTTAGAGAAGACCTTCGGTTTGAATGGGGCTAAATGAAGACACCTCTAAAGCTGACAAGGTTTTAGGAAACCAGCAAAAAGGACGGGGTGTCAAGAACTCAAGTCTGTGCTGAATGTGTGTCAAGGGTAGGGACTCTTCTTAGGTAGACTCTACGGGCAGCAAGGATAGTGGTGGAGGATGGGTGGATATTGATGTTAGTGACTTAGCTATTTCTCAAAACTCTGTTTTGGAGAAATACCGATTCCTCTTTGGAAAAAAGTGCCAGACCACACATTCTTCAGAGGCAGAAACCGTATTTTACTCATTTTGTTAACATACCCCTTTCTGATCCAATGTCTGCTACAAATAACTGGAAAATAGTAGAAATTCAGTAACTATGTTGAAAAAGGCCAACTAAGCTTGTGTGGCATGGATAGCCTCCACAACAGAAAAAAGCACTGATACACAATAGAAGCATATACAGTGGACCCTTGACTTACAAACTCAATTTATTTATGAGGGGCTGGTTGTAACTCAAGTTGGCCAATTGGAAGGCTCAGGCTCTTCTACAAAGCCTTCAAAGTCTCTCTCTTGTATACAGGCAGATCTCAGTGTCCTTAGAGAGACACTGGCCCAGGATTTCTCAATTAATCCCACACAGGAAAGGATGTTGTAATGTTCCTTCCAGAACTCTTTAAGCATTAAACCTGTCTGAGACCATCTGGAAGCACAAGTGGCTAGCATTTGGATCATAACTCAAGACTTCGGTTGTAAGTTAAAACTAAAATTCTGGTCATAACCCAGGTTGTTCGTATGTCAGACTGGTCGTAACTCAAGGGTCCCCTGTATCTCAAGTTTTATTGAACTGTAGACTGAGCATACTAGAATCTGAGCTTTAGAGACTGAGCATACTAGAATCTCAACAAGGAAGCAAGAGAATCTGAATGACTTCAAAATACTGAGCTTAGACTAGCCACTTAATGTGACTATGTTCTTGCCAACAGAATCAGAGCAAGAGTAATGTGTCCAACTTACTCATCACATCAGTCCACATCCTCTTCTCCAGGCCCATACAGATTGTGCTGTTAACCTATTACCATTATACAATGAGGACCTCATCCTGAGGATGAAGAATTAATGGAGTAAAAACAAAACCCTCTGCATTATTAGGTGAAAGACATTTACATTTGAGTAGAGTAAATTTATTTGGGGATATTTTCATTACAGTAGCTCAGCCTAACTAATACCAGCTGCAAAAATAACTAAAATATAGAAGTCATTAGAACAGGAACAGACACAACCAGAAAAACATGTCCAGAGGAAGGACTGGACTCAGAAAAAGGTACCTTATTATATTACATCATTTCTTCTAACTCTTCTTTCATAAAATGCTTACAAGCCCAAGATGGTAGTCAATGACAGTAAATCTCTACTCCATCCTCCATCCGCACTACACTACAACAGAACATTGCTATGTACATGTGTGGCCTATTTATTATCTGAGACCAGCAACTAGGGAGCAAAACATAAATGCACACTGCCAATTTTACACTGCTTTTTCAAAGTCCAAATAAATTCAAAGAAAATATTCAACTCTACTGAGTTTTTTGATTTAAGGAGATCGCTGCAAAGAGAAAAATATTCACCACCTTTTAGCAAAGCCCTTAAGGATTTCTTCCTGAAGATTTGGATTTTCAGTATCATTTTTCTTAGTTCCCAGTCTGCTTGGTCATTTCCATTTCAGTATTGGATGGAAAATTGGTTGGAGCACTAGGTCCAAAGCCTTTCCTCAAGAGGCACAAATAGAAACAAACTGAATTACTTGAACTAAATTCCAATTCTCAGAAGTAATTCTTGCATCAAATATTCAAGGAGAATAACAGTCATCCCCATAGAAAATGTATAAATTTGGAGACAATAAAATAATGTACAGTTGCACTAATAGAAAATAGAGTAGAATGTAAAACATAACCAATAACCCTCTACATTTTCAGGTATGTCTCACAAGTCCAAAACCCTAAAAAAAACCACTACATACTATAGTCACATACATACACTGATTTGCAAAGTTGTTTGGCAATGCATTTTTCTTAAAAATAGAAAGTGAATTCTCATAGATTTAAGAAACACAGACTGAGGAATTAAAAATAGCTATACCCAAATACATATTAAGCTGTTATATACCTTACAGCAACACACACACACACACACACACACACACACACACACACACACTGCATTCCTAAACTTCACAGAGGAAGGTCAGCTGTAAATATTACTGGACCCTTTGGTCTGGTGTGCCTCAGAAATCTATTTTCTTTTGAACTGGGAAAGGCAATCATACCACAATTTTCAAAACCAGTATTTCAAACAAATTGTTTCTAATAGTTCTTCTAAGTTACTCTTTCAAAATCAAATTAACTTCAAATAAACATGTAAAACAGAAGACTGAACAGTAATAACCAGTCAGTCTGGAAGCACTGTCAAATCATAATGCTCCCTGCATTTCCTGAACCCCTTTAATCATCCAGTGATAACCTATGTGATCACATGAACGTGGTCTAGCAATTTTAACATGATTTGGGAACGTCAACATGCAATGAAAGAGATAGCAACAGACACTAATAATCCATTCCAGAAAACAGAGAAATTAATTAATGAACACATTGTTATGGTTCTCAGTACTACCAGCCGGTATTAGGAAAAAGAATGCTATTGGAAAATGTTCAGATTTACCTACCTTAAGGAGAAATTATGAGCTTTTCTCACCCAGATTCCTTTAAAGTCTTCCTTTAAAAGTGTCAACTACTATGAGTTCACTTTTGAAAAAAATACTGTGCCTACAGAACAGTAAGACATTAACCAATGCAGCAAGTTTGTCAATCACTGTCTCATCCTCGATCAAGCAAACCAACTATTAAAAATTTGATTAGAAGAATAAAAGGCCCAGAAGGAAAAGGGCTGATGAAGCTAACTTCATAACCTGCAGAATCATCTATTTCCTTTCACATTCAGGTTTTGTTTAACCATCTAGTTGATGAACATAAAATAACTGAAAAGACCTGAAGTGTTAGAAATCTTGGGAAAGCTTCCTAACACCACACAACTCTAAAGCCAGCCATAAAAGGAAGGAATAAAATATATTTTTACTCTATTCATCCTCCATCTACTTTCCTCCTGCCACTTGCACAACATATTTCTCACTTTACTCATATTTTATCCGATCATTACACTTTCCCCAAAATATGCTTGTGATCTAACCTCGTGTTGCTTTCTTATGCTTCAAAGCAGCTTAAGCATTTTTCTGGTCTACTGAACTTTTTCCTCAACTCTTCCCTTTACAGATCAACTCTACTTTGTAATGAGCCCTTTCACAAAGTTTTTGCCTTTAAAGAGTTTTGGATAAGTATATTCCTTTTTCTGATGTTTTTCACAAGCACGGCTAACTTGTTCTCTCAGACTGGGAAATTTCCACCTCTGACAGCCACTGTGATGTTCATTCAGTCTCTTTTTGGAAGGTCTTATGGAAATGGCACCTAAAGCAATGGCTCTCAAATGTCATTAGAATTAGCTGTGGAAGTTTTAAAAAAATCCATTTATACTCCAGAAACAAACTCAGTGAAAGCTGATAATCCATATTTCCTCAAATTACATAGTCATTCTACTAACCATCTAACAAAAAGACCAAAGCTAAGAGTTCAATAGTTAAGTATTACATTCGTTGGATGACTGGGCTATGGCAGGCAGCTCTTTAGGCATATGAAGAAGAACACTATTCCCTAAACTATTACTTTGTTCTACACTTTCGACCTTATATCCATAAGGTAACCTTATGGATTCATCCTGTGAGATCTACTTTTAAAAGATGACACAACACTGTTCATTGCTGCTTTCTCATTTCTCATTTTGTTTTACATGTAAAGCAAATAACCTAAACACTGATAAACGTTTTATTTATATACCCACCACTTGGAAGTATTGTTTACATAACAGAGAAAATGAGCACCTGGTCTGAATTTCCAAAATGGCACTCCTTGCAACTCAAGGGGAGCCTCCATCTGCATTCTATGAGCAGGGATAAGTGACCATGTTATTTACTCATTTACGGAAAAATTTACAAAAATGAAACTCCAGTTAACTCTTTAATCCAAACTGAATTATGCCACTCACATGCTACTGCACCCCATACTGGAAGACTCTAGTTACTGATAATGTGTCATATTTAGCATATTCATCAACCTAACATGCCCGAGGCCAGTGGTGGCAAACCTATGGCACGTGTGCCACAGTGGGCATGCAGAGCCTGCCCCATCAGCATGCAAGCCAAGTCACGCCAGCAGCTGAGCATTCAGGTTTAGTTGCAATGTTGACATTTTGAGCTTAAGTAAGTGAGTTTTGGGTTGCAATTTGGGCACTCATACTCTAAAAGGTTCACCATCACTGCCCTGGGCTTAGGAAATACTCTCAGTTCATACTCTCACCTAGGTTAGCTAACTGGGGGAAATAAACGGTCTGATGTTAGAATAGTTCTCTATATGTTGACTCTGGTATAATGCCATTTGGTTGCAATCTACTAGCATAAGAACAGACTCTCCTAACACTGCTTGGACCTGAGAGCTACCTGCAGACTAATCCCTTACTGAGGGTCACAAATGGAACAATTACAGAGCATCGACACAAGAAGCTCTGCAAGAGGTATTTCAGAGATAGCTCGTTTCCCTCTCAGGTGCTGAAAGAAATCATCCCCTCCCACCACAGACCATTCTGAAAGATAAAGATGGAACAAGAGCATCAAGTTAAATGCTGACAACCAGCACCTACAGCAGCTGGAGGATCAGATGGAATGGGTAAACTAACATCCTTAACAAATTTGATAGTAAAAAATGCACTCCAATTTTCAAACAAGAAAAGTAAGAGACAGATTTTTCAAAATTAGGTAAAATAGAAGAACAGATGAGTTAATTAACTTTACCTGTTCTACAGATACTCTCCACAGTGTATCAGTATTACCATGCCAACCACCTTGGGCTCTTGGTACAAATTAATTGACAATGATGGATAGGCTATTTGAACTTCAAAAATTAAATCTTTATATGGCCATGAATATTCTTTATGGTATACTCCTGCAGCTCAGGGCACTTCACTCTGGACTTGGCTGAACAAGTGAACACTCTGTTTCATTCTGTTCATCTCTCTCCAGGGGCTATTTCACCTGACTTTGGATTGTTTCTATCCCAGACATCATCCTTAGAAAAGCGTAGATTAAAAAAAAAAAAAAAAGCCTAGATATTACTGAGCATGATAAGCTGTAATGATGCAAAGAAAGAGACTTTGTTAACATTTTCAACTAAGTAAAATGAAAAAGCATTATCAAAAGCACCAAATCGGGTGTCTGGAATTAACAAACCAGGACACATTTCCAAAAGTGTAATCACAAGGTCACACGTTGACACCTCGGCATTAGCTGTGTGTCACTGTAAATCACCACACCAGCACTTTCTCTCCTCTTCATTTTATTTTCTAAATTTAGAGCCATTACAAATGCTGCTAACTCTGATAACTTAGTACCCATGCACAAGGAGGGTGAATCACAGCTTCAATGAGACCCACCAACCTAAATGTCTCCCCTTTTGTATATTTCCATGTTCAATGACAATATTTCACTCACAATGTACCTTATTCTCTGTTCATTCTTGAGGACTTATACATCTTTATAAACTTGCCTAAAATACCTCTTTATGTATATTCATTAGAGAGTAGATTCTTCTTTTGAAATTTGATTCCATAAAATCATTTTGTTTTATTACCAAATAACTTTTACTAAAAATGCAACTTATTAAAAAAGATTTGAATCTAGAAATCAAAATAAATTAAAATTTTAATGGTAAGTTGTTACAGGTCAATGGCTATAAATTAACATTACTGTCATTTTTTTTCAGAGTTAAAGGACCACAGCAGCAAGGCGATGAATAAACCAGTCTCCTTATCCCAGGATGCAACTTCTGTTTATCCCTCTAAATTTCCTTCTCCATTACATTCAGTTTCTCTTCTCCCACTGAGTTCTCCAAGCCCTAACTGCCTCTGATTTTACCCAATATATCCGCCTTTCCTATGTTCAGTTTACCCACATCCTGGTGGTATCAAAAACCTTTTCCACCCTACACTGCAGTAGGTAACAGACTGATTTATTTTTTTAATCTTAAGCTTATGCAAATGTATAACCTCCGGCTTCCTCTGGTCTCTCAATACTACTGTTTTAGTTAGGTTAGGCTGCTATTTAAAAAATACCGTAGAGATTGGTTTGAAAAACAAAGATTTATCTCTCTCAGTTCTGAAGATCAGAAGACTAAGATCAAGGCATCAGCATATTCAGTATCTGGTGAGGCCTTGCCTTCTAATTTGCAAAAGGCTACTTTCTTACTATATTCACATCGTGTGAAGAGGCTCTGGTTTCTCTTCCTCTTCTTTTAAGTGCACTAATCTCATCATGAGGACTCCATCCTCATCATCTAATTACCTTCCAAAGGCTCCAGCTCCAAGTGCCATCACAATGGGCATGAAGATCCGAACATTTGAATTTTCAAAAGACACAAACATCCAGCCCATAAAACTTCCCAACATTCCTTCCATATCTAGTGTCAGTTTTTTTCCTCAATTCACAGAAATGACCAACTTCAAAACTCTTTACCTCATCTCCCTTCTTTTGCCATTAACAAATTATCTCACTCCCTACTCCACAGGAGGTGAATAAAACAATTAGCATTCCCTCAATTTCCTGTTTTACTCCCCAAAGTAGACCTTTCATTCCATTTTGGTCAAAGAGGTACCTCCTTCTTCTAAGGCTGATCTTTTCATCTGAGTTCAGAATACCAGTATCTTTGGCTGGATATGAACCTTCTGTCTTCACTGTAATTTCAATCCATACCTCTCTGCAGCCTGTCACCCTTAACACACAAAGATGCTGAAGTCCCATTCACTTGAAAGAAGAATACTTCCCTGCCCTCACCTCTTCCACCTATTACCGTATTTCTATCTGCCCATTCAGTCAACATCCAGAGAGTATACTATACTTGTAGGCTTCATTTCTTTTACACTATCCACTCTTCATAATCTCCATCTCTGGCTCAAACTGCTTTTGCCAAGGTCTCCAATGACCCTGTAATTACATCTAACAGAGTCTCACTGGCCTCTGCCATTGCTGACCTCTCTTCTGCTAGAAACTCTCCTCCTTCTTGGTGTCTGTGAGTAGGCTGACCTGGATTTTCTTCTACCTCTCAGATCTTCTTTCTCAATTTCTTTTATGGGCTCTTTACCCTTTGCCCACCTCTCAAATATTCCAGAACACTACCTCTCATTTTCTGATGATCCATAAACAGATATTTCTGGTTAAATATAGGTCTAGAGTTCCAGAACCACAGTTTGAATGTTTCAACTCAACTGCCAATGAAATCTCTCTTCTTAGATGCCACAAAGCACACATATATTTGACATGGCATGTCCAATAAGGAGCTCATCTCCACCTCCTTCAAAGCCAAGTTCCTGTATATAAAAGAGGATGGCACTCTCAGTTCAGGTGTCTGATCTGGAAATTTCGGGGCCATCCCTTATTCCTCCCTTATTCCTCACAGTTGTCCCTGTTCCCTCTGTATCTTTGGAAGCCCTCCTCTCCTTCAATCCCTTCAGTTTAGGCTCTCCCAATTTTTCCCCATATTACTGCAACAGCTTCTCTTCTGCTCGCCCTCCCTCCACCTGTAACCACCTCTCATGTCCCATACCTCTTTCTACTTCAATCACAAAGTACTCTGATCATATGACTCTTTCCTGGAACAACATCCATGCTACCTTTTTTCTGGGATCAAACAGGGATTCTCTGAGAGGTCACCTAGGAGCTGCTTTTTGTTATGCTCAGCCCTCATCTCTCGTCATGGTTCCTCTCCCCACTTTGCCCAGTCACGCCATACTTCAGGACCCTAAAGCCCTTACATTTGTGTCCCAAATCTCTGGGCACATTGAAACTCCCTCTAAAAAATGTCTCATTACCTCACTCTACATGCCCAATTTTCTCCTACTAGTCATTCAAAAGACAGCCTAGGGCCAGGGATTTAGCTCAGTGGTTTCAGCGCCTGCCTTGCAAGTGCAAGGTCCCGAGTTTGATCCCTGGTACAAAAAAAAAAAAAAAGACCAAACAAAAGTCAGCCTAGACATTTTTTCCGGTGAATGCTTGCCCAAAGCACACTCCTTCCCAGTCTAGACTGTATGTCCATCCTGTGGGTCCTCCAGGCCCAAGGACTGCCACTGCCACACCACAGCACTGACCATGCTGTGCCCTGCCCACTCAGATGGAAGTGCATAAGCTGCCAAAGGAGCAAGGTTTGGATGGTGTTGCACCAATTCCCTGACACCTACCACAGTGCCTGCTACACAGGAAGCACCCTAGAATATTGCTGATGCCAGAAAGAGTTCTTCAAGTTCTGGAACTAATCCCATCATTAGCAAAAGAATTTACATGCAACACATTCTGATCCCTTTCACTCTCTGATTCTAACTGGATGGTTACACACTGATTCTAACCAGAAGCTACAATTTCAACTGAGTGGACAAACTATATCACAAAGACATTACTGTATGCAAAGACATATAACAAGGAATGTGGGAAAAACTTTCAAAAATTCATTTAATAAAATTACATGTATTTTCATTTAAAATCTTGGTAATATCTGTTTAAAATATCATTCTAAAATGTCTTCTGGGGCTGGGGATTTAGCTCAGTGGTGCCGCTGCCTGCCTTCCAAGCACAAGGTCCCAAGTTCGATGCCCCGTTTCAAAAAAAAAAAAAAACCCAAACAAACAAAATGTCTTCTGGTGGAGAGTTGGTGATTTGTGTAACTATATTAACTGACATTATGCCATCAGAATAAATTTGCTATAGATAACATGTGCAATACAAATTACACTAAACTTCTTTCCCCAAAAAAACTCCATGTCTAGTCCTATTTATCTTTAAATCCTTGATTATATCAGAAAATACCTGACAAGGGCCTCCTCATGGTAAGACTCAGATAACTTCTAACACACTACTGTCAAGTTAGCAGTTATTAACTATGTCTGGAAAGAGGGCTTGGCCCTTACACACTGGAATTGAGCAGCTCATCATCTTTAACTCAGTTCAACTCTGGAGTATAGCAGCTCCATTTTGGACATCCAATTTAGTTCCTATTAATCAATAGCAATTTAAACCCAAAATTCAGGTTGGATGGAGGCCAGCCCAGGAAAGCAGTCTTCCCAGAAGCTGATCTGCACAGTCCAGATGAGCTCACAGTAGAACAGCTTTGTGTTGCTCTCTAAGGGGACAACTAGAAGACAGGTTTCACTCTCACCTGGCCTGAAGAAAGAGGACTGACCAGAGGACTTTCCACTGTCTCCTCACCATAATTTTATACATGTGGTTCTGAACTGAAGTAGCCACTAGGTGCCAAATTCTGAAAAGGTGTCAAACAGCATGTCAACAACTGAAAATGGGGTACAATGTGCTTCTTGCCATCTGAATACAGGGCTTCTAAAAATCTTTTTTTTTTCTTACATGATAACACACCTTTCCATTTTTCTGGCATCCAAATTTAAAAACAAACAAACAAAAAAAACGGGAAAAAATCTTTCTTCACAGAAAGTTTTGCCAAAAGAGATGTTTCTAGTCACTTCATCCTTCTGTGATGGTAGTTATCTTAATTTGCCTTCCCCCAGAGTAAAACCTAAAATAAGGGCCATCATAGTTTGCATCTAAAAGGTCTCATGTGTTTGGAAAGTGACTGGATCATGAGGGTACCACACACCTCTGAGGATGCATCCATTAATGAGTTCAGTAGTCATGCTTGTTTTATTAGGAGGTGGGCTGGTTAGAGGAGTGGCTCACAGAGGATGTGATCTGCAACTGTGTATTCTTACCCTTTCTCTTTCTGCTTCCTGGCTGCTATGGGGTGAGCAGCTTTTCCTCCATGATGCCCTTCCACTATGCTGTTTCTGTCTTGTAGCCAGCCAACCGTGGACTGACCCTTTCTAAAACCATGAGCCAGGGCCAGGGATTTAGCTCAGTAGCACTGCGTATGCCTCGCAAGCGCAAGGTCCTGAGTTCAATCCCTGGTACCACAAAAAAAAAAAAAAGAGCCAAAGTAAACCTGTCCTTTAAATTGCTGGTGTTAGGTATTCAGAAATGGGAAAGTGACTAATATAAGGACTTTAGGGGAGGATCTCAAGAAGCAAAAGGAGACAAGGAAGTGAATCAGGGAATAAGGAAGAGTGAATAAAGAATGCACTACTGGGCAGGGGATTTAGCTCAGTGGTGCCTCCGCCTACTTCGCAAGCGCAAGGTTCTGAGTTCAATCCCAGGTACAAAAAAAAGAGAAGGCATTACTGATTTACCACTGCACATAGATGGGGCTCGAGCCTATGGAGAACTCCTGAGCAAGACTAAAATTGGTCCTGTGAAGGATCACAGGCTAATCATCAACACTCCTGCCCATGGATGGAGCAGAAGGTAACTGCTCTGTGTTTCAGGACAAGCTTGGATTAAGTAAACTTCTGAGGCTTCAAAGGAGAAACTTAAGGCAAAAGAAAGAAGCAAAGCAGGCTGTATGTATGGGCTCTGCCCACTACTGCAGGTGAACTTCAAGGTCAGCCAAGGAGATGTGGCATGAGGTCCAAAAAGTGCCACCAACAGCTAGGTGTGGGTATAGATCTCTCTATGCAGTGTAGCGAGCTACAATAACTATGTTTAAAAAGCACTTTTCAATGTAACCCAATTCCTGGAGATTTTTATTAATAAACAATGTACATTTGCTCCTTGCATTATTAATTTATTTTACAAGAATGAAGAATGAAATGTAAGGACAACTATAGCTTTGGGAGGTTGTTAGTATGTAACTATGAAGACAAAAATAAACATCATAACCATTGTAAGAATGACTAAGTGGATACCTACTCTGGAGGGCTTTTACTTACCAACACAAAGTTCTAGCTTCTTCTGTAAACAGTACAGCTGTTTCACATATCACGGCAATTTCTGAGATATATAAATGCAAGCCAACACCCTGGGGAGAACTTTTAAGTTTCTGGGAAAGCCATAACCTAGCCACCATGTCAATCAAGAATGCAATGTTTAGTCCTATTTCTTACTTTACTCCAACAAGGACCCATTCTGTCACCTCTAAAAAACAACAACAACAACAAAAAACTGGTACTGTGAATACTTAGCCAAAGTAATCTGAGCACTTCCCATCCTTTGACTGACTTTTATGCCTCCAAAGTCAAAGTCAAGCCATGTCACTAAAGAGGTTTTGAAAATATCCCACTTCCTGAACTGCAAATGTTCTTGCAAGTGGTGCAAACAGAAAACTTCAGGTCTCAGTACCGTCAACGTGACACCTTCATCAGCTTCCAAATTTGGTAATTACTGTTTTCCTCACACCCACTGATAGAGCTAAAATCTGGGTAACTCATGAGATTCTCAAGTCTGGCAACTTTTTGGCGAGTGTGGGAAGAAAGGACAAGAAAATATCTTCAACAAGGTCAGGGTCAAAGATAGCAAGCCATGTTTCAATATCTTCTTTACTATCAAGGCTTTATCCACAAGCTTTCCCCTCGTTTGGCAATACGGTTTTGTTCACTGTACCTAGAAGCACTCTTAAAAGCAAAGTAAGTTGTAGATCCCATCTACGTTTGATCCAGGAAGCCCAGACCTACTTTCAGGGACAGGAAATGAGAGCGTGGGGCCAGGGGAGATGATATTCACAGTAGCCAACGAAAGTGGAGTCGATCTAGAAGGTGCACAGGGCAAACGCGGCAACGTGCGCACGAAGCAACACAGCGGTGAGAGTCTGTGGGCCAGAGGAGGAAAACAAATTGCACAAGGGGCCAGGTAAGGAAACAGAAAAATTGGTAAATTCCAGAGGCTACTTCTCTGTTTATACAGGTAGGAACTACAGAGCACTTTTTACAGTTGAAATAAAGAAAACCAAAGAAATGCACGTGGAGAAAATCAGTCTAACACGCCAGACACCACGGTGCTGCAGTTTCAGTTCAGTCCCTGCAGTCCAGAAAAGGACCCTCTTCTATCGGATGCTTCTTTCCTAGGCTTCTCAGACAAATGGCACCGCCTGCCTGGCCTATGACTAGTAGTCACCACAGTAAGGCCAGATTCCCTTTAGCCCACAGATACCTACCAGCCTTGCAAATTGATGCCCAAGTGAAAACTGAAAACAAACTTAGATTTGAGGCCCATATGCTGATCAAACAAAGAATTAGATAAATCTGCAGAAACTTTGGCTTTTATGTTTTCCAAAGTTTATGCTCAACAAGACATATTCCAAATTATTACTGGTCTATGGAGCTGGCAAGCCTAAGTGCCAAAAGGCTGGCAAACATAAACGCCAAAGTAACTGCCAATGAGCCTCTCCCCTTAAGACACACTAGGAGTGTTCTTGGTTCTTCAATGGGATAAAAGTAAAAATGGACTTTGAAAACTCTCCCAGGCAGTGACAATAAACCTCAAGGCCAAGGTTATTATGCGGTCAAGTGAGAAAACATCACATGTAAACTTTTGAAGTCTAAGACTTGTGGTTCAGTCATGTGCTTCGCACAAAAGGAAATCTAATACACTAGATTTAATAAGCATTACTCAATAAAAAGGCATTAAGTCTGTATGCAAAATGAGGCAAAGCACAATACTACTCACAGGTGTGCTGCGGTAAAGTCTGTCATTTAGAAGTCTATGAACCCTGGCTGATACTGCTGGGCAGTTGGAACTTACATTGTGACGCTCCCTACTGGTACCTGTTAGAACTATCAACGGCTCCTAAGATGAAGAAAATTTTCCTTGCACTATTTTGTTTAATATTTACTCGAGCTTCCCAAATAGCTTTGGTTCTACCAAATTTTTGGAAAGATGACTTCACAAAGAAGTTCAAAGCCTACAAAGGGAAAATATGCTTTTAGTTAAAAGGCTGGAGCAAATCTTTATTAAGAAGCAAAAGTCATTTTCTGTTTTTAAAGCTTTTTTAATATAACTTTCTATACACTAATTCTAGCCATAGTAATCCTCTAGAAAATATGCTTAGTTTCAAGAAAGACACTGCCAGTGACTGATGCTAATGTGGAATTTAAAAATTCATTTGCTCAGGACACCACACCAGCAGCCAGCTCAGAGACAGCATGAACAATGCAACCACAACATTTACTTCTTTTACTCATTTGCTGAATGAGGACTGGACACAACAAAGTCAAGCTTAATTTCCCGGTGTGTTTGTTCAGCTGTGTGTGTCAAGACGCTCACAGGCTTCTCAGACAGCCAAAGAGTAATGGAGTAAGAACCCCTTGAGATGCATTGCAACTGAGAAGCTCAGCACAAAGAACTCAGAAGCCCCAAGAGATGACGCTGGGTCAGCCCTTACATAACCCTTCTGGCTTTGCATTTTTTCCATCTACAAATTGAAAGATGAGCTACTCAAAAACAGATAGACCAGTCTCTGCTTTCTCCCTGAGGGTTTTACCTTTCTTTCCAACCTTGGAGCTGAGTAAACCTGTCATTACTCTTCATGACTAAAGAATACATAAACCACAGCAAATTTTTCATATTTTCTTCTGCTTGTTTCCTCTC